CTCTCTCTCTCTCTCTCTCTCTCTCTCTCTCTCTCTCTCTCTCTCTCTCTCTCTCTCTCTCTCTCTCTCTCTCTCTCTCTCTCTCTTACCTGCCTCCTCTCTGTGAAGTCCAGCCGAGCCAAGAGAATATGGTGAGCGAGAGAAGATTCCAGAACCACGAATTCTTCTGCCGAAGCATACGTTCGCTTCCCGTCGTCATCTCGCCTTCTGAGAGATGTCCCTTCAGTTACGGCGCGATTCCTTCGCAGCTCCAAGGCCGCGCGAATATTTGCACGCTGCTCGTTACTGCCTCCGCTGGAGAATCGGCGCTCTTTCCGCATTGTAGCGGTGGAGGAGGAAGCACCTCCTTCCAGACCTGCCGCCCCCATCGATTTCATCTTTAGCTGCTCGGTTCCTACTCTCCCACCTTCTCCTTTGTCTCCCTCCCCCCTTCTTCCTCCTCGCCCTATCCCCTCTCCTCTTCCCGATCCTTTCCCCACCCCTACTCCTCTTCCTTCTCCTTCACCCCCTCTGCCTTGTCCACCGCCCGCCCGCCTTTCACCCTTACCTCTCTCTTTGTTGCCGTGTGTCCCACCCCCCGCCAGATTGCCCATCCCCTCATCAAGTGGCAGAACCTTTGGTCCGTTAAACAAGTCGCGAAGCCACATCAAGATCTCCTTCGTTATTAGCGCCCCCGCTTCTTCACCCCCAGCCGCAGCCTCCTTGCTGTCCCTGCGATCTAGATACGAACACCGTGTGCTGCCGCGGATAGCCGCACTGATGGCGACCTGGACATCAGCTGGAGTAATGTCAACCAGGAGGCCAACATGCAGACAGAGCCCAAGGACCAGCAGACGCTAAGCAGTCCCCGAAAGCCAAGAGACCCATCAACCGAACGGCAATCGCCTCTCCTGCAGACTGCGTCCTTTTCCATCATTCCTATTCCAATAATGTCCCTCTTGACCAACCCCMCCTCTCTCTCTCTCTCTCTCTCTCTCTCTCTCTCCGGCTGCGATACTGAGCTAGAGAGAGAGAGCTCAACAGATGGATTGTCCCAGTACGCTGGTCAGCGCGAGCTGGCCGCAAATTTGTAAGCGTTGGCTTATCTGGTCAGACGAGGTACATTCTACCTGTAATCTAATTACAGCTTAGTCCCCAAATCGTCGTCGAACCAGTACCAGTTAGTGGCGTGATTCGCTGACTCATTCCGTACGTCAAAGAACAGTACACATCGGTTCAAATCTCGCCCAGGTCATAGCCGTTTCCTCTGCAGATCCCCATCGACGTCTAGCAAACAGCACGGCATCGAATACCCGCTAAGGCTTCTACAATAAACAGCGACGGAGAGCGCGCAAAGCTGAGGTAGCGCGAGCTCCGTGCACCCATCAGCCCGCCTTTTGCATTTTGGACGAAGCGCGCCCCTTCGCGACGAACCCGCCTTCCCATCTGCAACCAAGCCCGCCACTTGGACGACCCCGCCTTGCCATCCACGGGCAAGCGTCCCACTCAGCACAACTAACCTCAGCTTCGCCAGCCGCGGTCAGGAGAGAGGCTGCCCCGAGGGCCAGCCAGCCGCTGACGGAACTGGCCTTCGACTCCGTATTGACTTACCGTGAGGGCACGGGTGCGCAGCCCGTAGTTCGTTTGTTGATGTGGTGCGGGAAGGGTAAGGTAGTGATTTTGCTGTATGTATGTTTTGTCATGTTCACTATACAGAACTCGAAGAGAATGGGTGTGGGGTTTCGTTTGGTGCTTTATTCACGATGTTCATGGGAAGCTGGACCCAGTTTCCAGCAGGTGGCGCTCCCATAATAGACAGGAGAATGTGTGTGGGTTGTGTGTGTTTGTGTGTGTGTGTATGTGTGCTGGTAGCTGCCCATAGGAGGCTGAGGAGATTTTGGTCTTTTTCGAAATTGAAACGGTGTGTCGAAATTGAAACGGTGTGGGTGCATTTTTCTCGAATAGCAGAGTACCTCGAATAGAAACTATAGACGTTGTATTCGAGTACAACGTGTACCCTTTCTATTCGGATTTGGAATAGGAAAAACTCTTGTATTCCAATAAAATTACTGCTTTTTTTGGGGAGGTCAGCGCCTTTTAATTTCGAAAAAGGCTTGAGGACGGCGGCCTCCTCTCGGCCTCCTACGGGCACGTAATGGAACGCGTAAGTTGCGAGGGCCCCAATGGGTGGCCAAGGGCATTGGCGAATGTGTATGTGTGTGTAGGGTTTTTGTTGGTGCTTTATTGATGATGTTCATGGAATGCTGGACCTAGTTTGTAGTTGGTGGCGCTCTGTTTTGTAAGGTTTTTTCTTTGGTGCATGTGGTGAAATAATAATAATGAAGTAATGAAAATTTGACAAAGGTGGAGTGTTGTTGAGGGGAAAGAGGGTTAGTTTGTTGTTTTTCTTTCCTTTAATGTGTGGTGGTGAAGCAGAGAGAGCTGCAGCATGCAGCATGTAAGTGGTGGGGAGCACAAGGGCAGACTTTTACCTCTAAAAATTAAAAAGAAAGTAATTTTATTGGAATTCACGAGTTTTCTTTTTTCAAAAGTGTGTGTGTGTATGTGTGTTTGTGGCTAGGTTCCATTTGCGGAAATGTGTGTGTGTGTGTGTGTGTGTGTGTGTGTGTGTGTG